GTCACATATAAGTGTTGCTACTCCAATTTTTTTTTTCATTTCCTTTTGCCTTAAAATATTTTTTTCCACTCCTTCACTTTCAGTCTGTGTGAGTCCTTATATATGGGGCATGTTTTCTTATCCATTCAACTACCCTATGTCTTTTGATTGGAACATTTAATCCATTTACATTTAAGGTTATTATTGATAGGTAGTTTGTTGCCATTTTTATTTTCTATTCCTGTTTTCCTTATTCCCTGTCTATTTCTTCTCTTTACAACATTCTCTCTAGCATTTCATGCATTGCTGGCTTGGTGGTAATAAATTCCCTTCGCCTTTTTTGTCTGTGAAGCTCCTGATTTTCCCTTCAATTTTGCATGATAGCCTTGCTGGATTGAGTATTCTTGGATTCAGTCCCTTGCTTTGCATTATTTTATATACTCCATTCTATGCCCTTCTGGCCTGATGTGTTTCTGTTGAGAAATCAGTTGATAGTCTAATGTGCGATCCCTTGTAGGGAACTTTCTGTTTTTTTCTTGCAGCCCTCAAGATTCTTTCTTTGTCATTAACGTTTGCCATTGTAATTGTGATGTGTCTTGGTGTGGTCTTTTTTGGGTGTATCTTATTTGGGACTCTGTGTGCTTGTGTGATTTTTTTTCTTTCCCATGTCAGGGACATTTTCTGTCATTATTTCTTCAAATAGGTTTTCTAGTCCTTGCTCCTCTTCTTGTCCTTCTGGCACCCCTATTATGAGGATGTTGCTTCGTTTCATGTTGTCCCAAACCTCCCTTAAACTCTCCTGCTTTTTTTTACAATTGCTTTTCAGATTGGGTGTTTTTTCTATCCTATTTTCTAACTCGCTGATTCAGTCCTCTGCTGCTTCTAGTCTGTTGTTGAAACCTTCCATTGTGTTCTTCATTGCAGCGATGTCATTCTTCATTTCCTCTTGATTTTTACACATGTTGGTGAATTTCTCATCCAGATGGTTGAGCATCTTTATAACCTTTGGTCTGAATTCTTTTTGAAAAAATATATATTTTATTGATTTTTTACAGAGAGGAAGGGAGAGGGATAGAGAGTTAGAAACATCAATGAGAGAGAAACATCAATCAGCCGCCTCCTGCACACCCCCTACTGGGGATGTGCCCGCAACCAAGATTTATGCCCTTGACCAGAATTGAACCCAGGACCCTTCAGTCCACAGTCCCACGCTCTATCCACTGAGCCAAACTGGTTAGGGCTGGTCTGAATTCTTTCTGTGACATATTGCTTGCCTTCATTTCATTTAGTTTCTTTTCTGATGAGTTCTCCTTTTCTTTCCTTTGGGGATTGTTTCTTTGTCTCCCATTTTTGCTGTCTCTTTCTGGCCCTGGGCACCCTGATTAAGGTCCAAGGGGTTAAAGTCCCTAGAGGTCCAATGGTCTGGAACTTGTTAGCCCAGAGGCTGGGTCTGCCTGAACCTCATGCCTTTATTGTCTCTGCTCTGAGCTGTACCCACTTCTACCATGGTCCTGGTCCCTCAGTTGTCTGCTGCAGATGCTCTGGGTTGTGGGGGCACGTGCACAGTTCCTCTATTGTGTGACTCCCTGTGGGGGCCAGAGCCCTCTGGTGTGCAGTTCACTGTGCCACCCTGGCACCTGCGGCAGTGTGGCGCCCTAGGTCCCTCTTGGCAGTGCACTTGCAATGCGGTCCTGGGACCAGTGGCTGGGCACACTGAGTTGCACCGGCAGCACAGTCCTGTGGCCCAGGGTGGGCATGTGCCGAGTGTCTCCGGATTGCAATGATAGCATTGACCTGTGACCTGGGGCTGAGCCCTCCATGTGGTTCCAGGTTGCAGCGGCAGTGCTCTCCTGGGGCCCGGAGTGGGGTGTGTGTCAGGCGGCTTTGGGTCAGACTGGCAGCATGGTCCTGGGGTGGGGGTGGGGTCCATGGTCCCCCTGGCTTGTACTCACAGTGCGGGGTCCTGGGTTGCAGGGTCCGGGTGCACAAGCAAGGAGGTACGGCGCAGGAAGCCTCTCTGTTGTGCATTCACTGCAGACATTTGGGAGTCCGCGGTACCATGCCACTCACGCCCAGGCGTGATGGTGGGCCCACATGGGTTATGGCTGGTAAGCAGCTCCCTGCGCTGATTCGGGATGGTGTCTGAGCCAGTCCTGGTGTCAGTGTGGCTGCGCTCCTGGCCTCTGCTGCTCCCCTCTATCAGAAGCATGGGCTCTGCGCCAAAGCTACACCTGGCCTGGGGTGCCTGTGGCAGTAGCAGGGGCTCCCCTTCCATGAGAGTCTGACCTGCCAGTCCCCGAGACTCCTGCAAGATCTAACTGTCCCTCAATCCCCCCCCACACACTATAAATTACATCTGTGAACAGTCAGAGAAGTGGCTATTCAAACAATAATGTGGTAAGTTTCTTCTCTAGAAATAGGCGAGGTTTTAAAAACTGATGCTACTTATGTGATGAGAATGCAGAGGAATGCTTGCCTGTAACACACGGGTTCAACTAGGAAACAGTGGCAAAAGAAAGGTCAGCAGGTGTAAGTAGGAACTCATGTCACTGCACGTGGGGTTGAAAGGTGTATGGGACTAAATTACCTTGACGTAGTCCAAGAACTGGAGCAGGGGAAGGGCGACAATAAATCGTGATGAGGTCCCGACAGGAAGAGGTAAAAGTATTTAATTTAAGGTAGACTTTAATAGGTCAGGAATGCTTGTTGAAATGTCTAGGGTAACCATTAAGAGATAATGAAAAAAATGTATAACTAAGAAGCAAGTAGAAGAGTTAATGGAATTATAAAAAACAACAACATGTGGCTAATCAAATAGTAGTCAGGAACCCAGCTGGTGGGGTTCAGTGGTTGAATGTCGACCATGAACCAGGAGGTCATGGTTTGATTCCCAGTCAGGGTGCATGCCGGGGCTGCCGCTGGATCCCCAGTAGCGGGTGTGCAGGAGGCAGCTGATCACTGATTCTTATCATTCATGTTTCTGTCTGTCTCTCCCTTCCTCTCTCAAATCAATAAAAATATGTATACATATATTTTTTTAAAAGTAGTCAGGAAAGGAGCAACAAAGGAACAAAGGTCATGGAACAGAGACAACAACAGGAAGATGGGAGATTAAACCAGAACCACAAATTCCTGCCTAACACATTAATGAACTGGAGAAAAACAACTCAGCACAGTACGGCCTCACTTCACATCATCAGTAGCTCTGTGACTTGAGTGAAATGACGTGTAAGGAAACCAGTTCCCCACAGGCTCGTCAAGATGGAGAAGAGTCAGGTCCCTGTGGCGTCTCAAGGGTGTGATGCAAAGATGTTGAATGGGACCTGCCAGATATGTGACTTTCAAGGGACAAACCTTACATATCAGGACACAGAAAGGTTCAGAAAGGACAGAGGAAATATGCCAAGCAAACACTAACTAGACAATGCTGATGTCACTAACTTCAAAGAAAACTTGAAAGCAGGAAGAGCACAAGAAAGTCACTTCATAACAATGAGAGGGTCAGCTCAGCAGATGAGCCTGCCAGGAGGCCTGAATGCACCCAGTGCTGGAGCACAGAGTGGACAGGGCACACTGGGCAGCACACAGGTGCCTCAGACACAGGTGGGCATTGGCAGTGCATGTCCCTTGGCAGCTGATAGAAATTTAGTGGAGGCACAAAGGTTTGAGTGCGTGGTTAAACTACATCTAACACACATACCTGCAAGTGCAATTTTTATGTTCTTTTGAAGAATACAGAGAAACATTCTCAAAAAATCGTATGTTCTGGACACGGGATTGAAAAAATACAGAAGATGTGTTTTGACCACAGTGCAATTAAGCTAGAAATCAATAATAAAAAGGTAATTAGAAAATACCCCAAAGTTTGAAAATCAAGTATTATACTTCCAAAAAGCTGTGGGTCAAAGAAGTCAAGTGGGAATTAGAAACTGTTTTCCACAGATAAAGGAAAACAGCATTTAAAAGCTGTGGGATGCAGTTAAAGCTATTCTGAGACACATTGGAAATGGAAAAGGCTGCAAACCAATGTCCACATACCTATCTCAATAGGGCAAAGGACGGTAAGAAATGAGAAGGAACAAAATAATAGAAGATAATGTCAGAAATCCATAAAATTGGAAGCTGTCAAAGCCAAAAGGAATTATTTAAAAACATTCATAGAATTTATAAGCCCTAAGAAGTCTGACTTAAGGGAAAAGAGAAAGCCAGACACAAAGACTCAAACAGCAGGAATGGAAAGGCCGTTACCACCAACACTGAGGGTAAAAGATGGCACTGTGGACAACTCATGTCCGTGAAGGCTTACATGCGTGAGCCGTGGGTCATCTGTTGGGGGTGCCGTGTTGGGAGATGTGTGGGGATGGCGGACTGGAGCTGTAAGTTGGGAGGATGGGATGGTGGCTAGGGAGTAAGGTGACGGGAAGGTGGTGTTTTGGGTAATGACCCTGAGTGAGTGGGAAGGACACCTGTGGGTGGAGCACCAGCTGGGAGGAGAGCAGAGCTGCTGCGATGGGGTGCCCGGGAGCCTGGCGCCGGCATTAGCGTCCGGAAGGAAAGGAGACCAGCCCGGCGGTCAAATAGGAGTCTGTGAGCCGAGGAAGACCAAGTGCAGGGTTTGGGCGGCCTGTGGGCAGCAGGGCGGCTGGCTGTAGGCGACTGCATGGTCCAGTCCCGTGGGACACAGGTGTGCGCTTCAAGGACCGTGGGCAGCACGAACATGACACGCCCTTTCAGGCCACAGCACAGCGACATCACAGAAAGGCAGTGCTGGTCCAGGCCCACGAAGTCGTGAAGTGAATTGCTTTCCGTGACAGTTCTAGGGACGTAGCCTGACATGGTTCTGTGTTGACTCGGGAAGCATGGTTCATGATGCTCTCACGTTGGTCCGCGCGTGACTGCTAAATGCCTCAGACAGACACTGACAGGTGAGTCCTGGACAGCAGCTCTGTCTCACCAAAGGCTCCCCGCATGCCCCTGTGCATTGCTCAGTTTAACTTGTCTGTTTCCAATTTATTTTCCAGGACACGCAGCACGAAGTTGCTTCGACTCATTGACCTGGACTTTTCATTCACATTCTCTTTCTTGGATCTGCCGCCAGTAAATGAATATGACATGTACATCAGGAACTTCGGGAGAAAAAACACCAAGCAGGTGAGTACAGCAGGTACTGACTGCGCTCTGGACCTTGAGGGCAGGGAATGTGCGGAGGAGGAGGAGGGAGGGAGAAGGGCCCCTCACTCACCACGTGGTGCCTGTGAACCTGAACGGTGTGCAGGTGTCCACAGAAGCCCACACGGAGGGCAGCTCCCCGCTCCCAGTGTGGCTGCATGGGGAGCAGAATGTCCCCTGGATCCCTTGCTCGGGTCCCAGTGAGGGTGTGACTGTCATAGTGCAGGGCCTCCCAGTGCTGTGCACCCAGTGATTCCCATGCTCCCCCTGAAGTGATTCAACCTCGTCCCATCCTTTCTGTTCCATTGCACCTCCCCCTGTATGCCCTGACTGTCCCCTGCCTGTGTGCCCGCTCTCACTGTTCCAGGCCCCCTCACCTGCCTGTGTGCCCTCTCACTGTGCCAAGCCCCCTCACCTGCCTGTGTGCCCGCTTTCACTGTGCCAGGCCCCCCTCACCTGCCTGTGTGCCCGCTCTCACTGTGCACTGTGCGAGGCCCCCTCACCTGCCTGTGTGCCCTCTCACTGTGCGAGGCCCCCGTCACTGACCTGTGTTTTCTCTGTCACCGAGCCTGCCCCTCCTGTCACACGTGTGTTTCTCAGTGTCCATGGCCTGGGTCGAGGCCTGAGGTGAAGCCTTCCCTCATGACTTACACTGAGCTCTCTTATTCCAAAGCCGCCACCTCCGTGCCACACAGCTGACTCCCTGTTGTGCTGCAGTCACTAACTCGCCCTCCCTTCCCGAAGTTGAAGGCAGGGATTGTCTCTTGCATTTTCTTATGTCCTGTTGGTGCGGTTGGGCACATACTTGGGTCCATTCAGTCGGTGACAATAGGAGGAGGTCACGGGATGGCCCTGCAGGAGCTGCTGGGCGAGTCCTGCTGACTCTCCTCTGCCCCTTTCCTCATCTCAGAGCTGCTCGTAACGACGCGCATTACTGCACCTGTTTTGCTGTTGCTAATCCTCACCCCAGGGTATTTCCCACTGATATTTTGAGAGAGTGGAAGGGAGGGGGAGAGAGAGAAACATTGATGTGAGAGAGACACATCCATTGGTTACCTCCTGCATGTGTCCCGACCAGGGCCTGGGATCGAGCCTGCAACCAAGATAGGTGCCCTTGACTGTATTCAAACTTGGGACTCTTCAGTTCGTGGGCTGATGCTCTATCCACTGAGCCAAACCGCTAGGGCTAGATTGCCTTTGGTTTGCAAAGTCAGTATGTTCTTTAAAAAATAGATGTTGGTGGGCTCCTCAGTAGTTTTTTACACCAAAGCTGAATTGTTTGATGTGACTTTTTTAAAGCCCTTTAGAAAGTCAGGCCTATTAAACACAGCAAACTTTTAAGACCCAGACTGCCTTTGCTTGATGGTATTTAGGCCATGATAGTTATTTTTGACAAGAGCAAGAAGACTGCCATTGAGAACAAACGTTTTTCTTGTCAGTAACGAGGCATTACTTGAGGTTGAGTGCTCACGCAGCCCTTTGTTTTGAAGGCGTACGTCCAGTGCAATGAAGGGACTGTGGAGCGAGACATCCAGACAGAGGAGATGGAGACCAGGGAGGCGTGGACTCAGCACCCCGGGGAAGGCGCGGCCGTGTCGGGGGGTAAGCAGCTCGCAGGGGCTCCCTGCTGAGAGCCGGGTTCTTCACGTTGCCTGTGGTGCTATGCTCAGTGCATCGCTTGTTCTTTCTCCTTCTGCCTTTCTCCCGGGGGTGGTGGTTCGCACCTGCTGGAAGTGCCACGCCCTCTCGGTGGGGCAAACCAGCGGCCTGAGCACCAGCTGGGCCGGTCAGCAGGGCAGAGTCCCCTCCAAACACGCAGCTTCGTGAGGGCTTCGCTTCGAGCGCGCTTTGCTTTTGACTTGGGGTAACCTGTTCTCCTTAATAGAGATTTGTTTTTAATTTTTTTAAAATGTCTTTTTCATTGATTTTTAGAGAGAGAGGAAGGGAGAGGGATAGAAACATCGATGATAGAGAAATATCGATTATCACTCATCTGCCTCCTGCACGCCCCCTACCGGGGATTGAGCCCGCAACCCGGTCCTGTGTCCCAAACGGGAATCGAACCGCAAACTCTTGATTCTGGGAATCAACCAGCTGACAATAGAGATTTTCTACACGAGTGTGGTTGCAGATACGTGGCGTCAATACAGATGTCAGGTCCCCAAGGCGGGCTCCACGCTCGCGGCTTTCCTCCGTGACCTGTGTGCTCCATGTCCCCTTCCTGTTGCAGCTGATTCCGAGGAAGCCTCCCCCTAAGAAATCAGGCACCGACATGTGACACTCACACCGTCACCGATGCCGTGAGCTCAGGGGTGGGCAAAGGCAGTTTACAGTTGTGAGCACGCAAAACAGAGTTTCTTGTATTAGTACTCATTATGAGTGGGTTATTTGTGTTACAGCTGTCAATCTACTTTTGTCCACCTGTGCTTTCCTTAACGTCTGTAAGTAGGGTTCCGTTCACAGACTTTATGTGAAACAAGATGCAGTGGGTTTTCTCAGTTACATGTACTGGGGACAGCGGTTCACGAGGTGACGAGTTTCAGGTGAGCGGTGCTGGGACCCAGCACCTGTGTGCTCATCGCCGAGCCTCCTCCATCAGGTGCAGTTTAGAGAAGATCCAGAGTAACCGTGGACTTCCTGAGTTCCGCTTCCCGCTTCCTAATGTTCATGTGCCTCTGCACTCTGACCTGGCTGCTTAGAGCCCACCTGGCTGTTTTCTGTGACTTTTTAGGGAGTGAGAGCAGGGAGCCCTCGGATGCAGCGGCTGTGCCCAAGGTGGACACGCTGAGACTGTCCAGCTTCCTCCGGGCGGCCTGCCAGGTAGGTGCCTGGGACGTGGCCCGTCACCTGGGTCACCACCAACTAACATAAAAAACGACTGAAAAACACAAATGAAGTTGGCAAGGCAGACATAGCGCTAGAGCTGCGGTTCTCAACCTGTGGGTCGCTACCCGTTTGGCGGTCGAACGACTCTTTCTCAGGGGTCGCCTAAGACCATCCTGCATATCAAATATTTACATGACGATTCATAACAGTAGCAACATTACAGTTATGGAGTAGCAACGAAAATAATGTTATGGTTGGGTCACAACATGAGGAACTGTATTTAAAGGGCCGGAAGGTTGAGAACCGCTGGGATAGCACAGTGGTCGGCAAACTGCCGCTCGGTAAACTGCGGCTCGTGAACCACACGCAGCTCTTTGGCCCCTTGAGTGTGGCTTTTCCACAAAATACCGGCTCTTCCACAAAATACCGACTTCTGCGCATGGGCCACGAAGTTTCAATTGCACAGTACGTGCGCGCCCGCACGTGGCATTTTGTGGAAGAGCCACACTCAAAGGGCCAAAGAGCCGCATGTGGCTCGCGAACCACGGTTTACCAACCACAGCTCTAGAGTATTTGAAACTAAGAAACTTATGACTTTTAAACTGGCCATGGAAACGTCAAGCGGCATGAGAGACAGGGAGCACGTGGAGGACTTGAGGCGCCTCCGCAGTTGCAGGCCGCGGCCACTGCCGCCTCTGAGCCCCACAGACCCTCCCTGTTGCTGTGAAACGGGCAGTGCCCACACGGCCCGCGAGCCTCTGAGTCTCCAAAGAGAAGGACCCACATTCCTGCTCTTCCGAATGCCCTCGGGTCGGGAGTCTGTGTTCCTGGCCCCCCGCGTCTCCGCTGGCGTAAAGCAGCTGGCGCGGGGCTCAGGCTGGCCTGCCCGCTGTCCCCCCTCCAGTGAGTCCTTCCACACGCTGAGGGCGGCTCCCCGGTGTGCGTCCGGGAGGCTGAGGGCCGGCAGCGCAGGGCGGCGCGGCAGGCGGCTGGGCAGCGGTGCCGGCTCCCTGCGCCTCCTGGGTCCCCGTAGCGCAGGGAGAGCACCGTGGGGCCTGCGCGGGACGTGTCTTCGTCCTGGTACTTTAGCAGAGTCTCTGCCATAAACAGTGGCGTGTGCCCTGAGATCCCAGCTTCCTGAGGAGTTGTTCCCCTGCTGTGCCCGCAGGACAGGGTCCTTGCACCCTGTCTCTTCCTTGGTGCCTGGCGGGGGGCCGCTCCTGTGAGATGCGGGGGAGGTGAGCGGGCAGCGTGTTGATTCGGGCCCTCACTGTCTTTGGAAGGTGGTTGCAGTTTTGCTGGAAGAGGACCGCGTGGCAGCTGCCCCCAGCCGGGACCCCGGGGCCCAGGACAGCACCCTGCCCCTCAGCGACAGCGCCTGGCAGCTGAACACCAGCCTGCCCTTCCTCCAGCGTAAGAGCCTCCTGCCGGTGCCTAAGTGGGACCACGCGTGACGCTGACGTCGTGGTCTCGGGCCGCCTGTGTGACGTGAGGTGCAGCCGGGCGGAGCTCAGCCTGCAGCTCTGCTGCCCCACGCATGCGGGGGGGGGGGGGAGGGGGGGGACAGGCGCTCCTGAGACGCGGGGGGGGGGGGGGACAGGCGCTCCTGAGACGCGGGGGGGAGGCGCTCCTGAGACGCGGGGGGGGGGGGGGACGGACAGGCGCTCCTGAGACGCGGGGGGGGGGGGGGGACGGACAGGCGCTCCTGAGACGCGGGGGGGGGGGGGGGGGACGGACAGGCGCTCCTGAGACGCGGGGGGGGGGGGGGGGGGGGACGGACAGGCGCTCCTGAGACGCGGGGGGGGGGGGGGGGGACGGACAGGCGCTCCTGAGACGCGTGCGGGGGGGGGGGGACGGACAGGCGCTCCTGAGACGCGGGGGGGGGGGGGGACGGACAGGCGCTCCTGAGACGCGTGCGGGGGGGGGGGGACGGACAGGCGCTCCTGAGACGCGTGCGGGGGGGGGGGGACGGCAGGCGCTCCTGAGACGCGGGGGGGGGGGGGACGGGACAGGCGCTCCTGAGACGCGGGGGGGGGGGGGGGACGGACAGGCGCTCCTGAGACGCGGGGGGGGGGGGGACGGACAGGCGCTCCTGAGACGCGTGCGGGGGGGGGGGACAGGCGCTCCTGAGACGCGGGGGGGGGGGGGGGGGGACGGACAGGCGCTCCTGAGACGCGTGCGGGGGGGGGGCAGGCGCTCCTGAGACGCGGGGGGGGGGGGGGACGGACAGGCGCTCCTGAGACGCGGGGGGGGGGGGGGGGAGGACAGGCGCTCCTGAGACGCGGGGGGGGGGGGACGGACAGGCGCTCCTGAGACGCGGGGGGGGGGGGGACGGACAGGCGCTCCTGAGACGCGGGGGGGGGGGGGACAGGCGCTCCTGAGACGCGGGGGGGGGGGGACGGACAGGCGCTCCTGAGACGCGTGCGGGGGGGGGGGGGGGGCGGGCGCTCCTGAGACGCGTGCGGCGTGCGTGTGTGCGTGTTTGCTGAGGCGCCAGGACCCGCCCCTGCTCGGGCGCCGCCTGGTTCCTTTGAGACCCGAGCAGCGCAGCGCTGAGAGGCCGCGCGGCCTGCGCCGGCTCCGCTCCGTAGACCCACAGGTAGCCCGTGGCCTCAAAGCACAAAACGTTTGTCAGACGTGAAGGGTGGTCACATGTAATGGTTTAGATCCGTTTTAAAAACTGCATTTGCGCAGTCCGTCAGTGCCTGAGGCTGGTCACTGCTCCGCGGTGGAACGATGGCCGCAGGCGGCCGCGCAGGAGGGACGCGGCGAGTCGGGGGGTGCTTCTGTCCGTCGCTGCGTGGGGTTTCACATAAACAAAAATGGCATTTTAGCTTTAAAAAGCTTGTGTTTTGGGGCGGTGTTTTTATTTTTAAAAGATATGAGTTATCCTGTCGGGAAATAGTAAATCACTGTATCTGTGGAATTCAAAACACGTGTGCACGCACCATACCACCTCTTCTCCCCGAGCTGCCCAGTGACGCACCGGCAGGCCTGGAGGCGCTGGTACAAGTGCCACTGGCATAAGAGTCCCCCGTGGGGGACATGAGCGTGCGTGTCCTCACAGGACTGGCCTCTGGAGGGCGTGGAGACCCTCCTGAGGACAGGGAGGGATTCCTCGTGGGTTTGCGTTTTGGTAAAATGAACTCTGAGGTGACAGAGGAAGGGAGAGTGGATGACAGGTGTCTGGGGCTCGCTGGTCACACCTGTGAGGAGGCCTCGGAAGGAGTGATGCTTCCGCGCCCAGGAATGCTCGCCGGCGCTGCAGCGTGGTGCCGGCGGGCGCCCCTCGTTCCTGCGTTGGCCCATGTGCAGCGTGTGTCCAGTGTCGCGGGCCTAGTGAGAGTCAGCAGGGGACAGAAGTCCTTGTGGGTCAGACTGTGAACTTGCTAAATGAGTGACGTGTGCAGTAGGCTGAACTGGACAAGCTCTTGGGAGAAAACAAAGTGGGGCAGGGCCCCTGACGGAGCTGCTTGGCGGGGTGACACCTCGGGGACTGCGGGGCCCACTGAGGCGGCCTGGCTCCGGGCGGCGTTGTACCGAGTTTGAAGGATCACTTTTTAGCAAAACCACATGTCAGCTTTGACAGTTTTCTTGTAGAGCAGTGGCCGTTGACCACCCGCATTTCAGGCATGTGGAGCTTTGAAAGGCCATGTCTGCTGCCTCATGAGGCTGAAATGCACTGACATGTTTGTGTGTTATCTGACCTGGTTCTGGCAGACCCTCCCATGCTGCGCACTGTCGTATTCTGTCCCCAGATCGCAACGTGTCCAGCTTGCACGCCTCTCCGGCACAGAGGCAAGTGGTGTCCGTTCACGGGCTTCCTGACCAGGCCTGCGCGCCCCCGCTGGACCGCAGGCACCTGCTCTGCGTGTGGGACATCTGGCAGCCCTCGGGGCCGCAGAAGGTCCTGGTGTGCGAGTCGCAGGTATCACTTGGGAGCAGGGCGGGCAGGTGGGCGCCTGCGGGCCGCAGGGAGCAGGAGGGCGGGACTTGTCAGCTCCTTTCCCTTTCCTCCCAGCCTCCCTCAGCTCTGTCTGTGCAGCTCTGACAGGACATGAGCGGGTCTGTTTTGACTCTAAAAATTTTAAGTTCAGAAGAAACCCACAGCGTGAAGCCTGGTTGGCACACACTGTGGGAACTGGGTATCAGTTAGGGCTCCAGGCCGAGTGGACACACGGCCCCTGGGCACGGCTTTGGTTCAGAGTGGACTTGTTGCTTGTGCTGTCTGGGTCCTGGACATGGTAGAGGTTTCTTAATGCTTGAGATTGAGTCTGTAGTCTCATGCATTTTCTGGCCCCTGGCTCACAGGCCGTGGTCTGGTGGCCACACAGGTCACCCTGTTTACATGCTCCTTGACCTCAGAATCATTGATTTCACCAAAACAGTAGAGAACAATAACTTTTACTGATGTCAGTTTTGGGGCTTGACGATAACTTTTGGTGATGCAGGCTGTAAATGGAGAGACAGAAGCTGGCTTTGCTGATGGGGCTGAGTGGGGCCTGGCGCACAGTAAGAAAGCCGACACAGACACACCCAGACCTGCTTCATGTCTGCAGCTTCTCGGGGAGGCCCCGGGCGCCGTGGCAGCAGAGCTCTCTGTCCTCCCAGGTCACCTGTTGCTGCCTGAGCCCCTTCAAGGCCTTCCTGCTGTTTGCTGGAACCGTGCACGGCTCGGTCATCGTGTGGGACCTGAGAGAAGACTCTCGGATGCATCGTTATGTGAAGCTGAGCGATTGCTTTTGGACGTTCAGGACAGCCACGTTTTCCACTGGTCAGTGAGGCCCGCCGGCCTTAGGTGTCTAGACAAGTCCAGGAGTGTCTGAAATATCTTGGCATTTATGGTTCTGGTTACCCCACAGGATGGGGTCTGACCTATGAGCAAAAGAGGCCTTTGACAAAAAGGAAAACAAAAATGCCCCCAGGCCACAGTTAGCCTGTGGCCAACAGATTATAACATCTTTCTTGTTAATGTGTGGATTCCAAATCCTCAGTGAGATGACGTTTCTAGTTTTAAATTAGCTTAAGGCATGTTGGTAAGTGTGCTCCTGGCTTAGTTACCTCCACCAGGGGGGACGAGAGGAACTGGAACAACAGGACCTGCAGCATCCTTGGTTGGACCCCAAGAATACTTCATGTCAGGCAGCTGTAGCTGCAACCATAACTGTGAGCACACCAAGCAACCACAGCCAGCCAGCACAGCCACAACCAAACAGCTACAACCAACCAACCAACACAGCCACAACCACACAACCACAACCAACCAACACAGCCACAACCAACCAACACAACCACAACCAACACAGCCACAACCAACCAACACAACCACAAGCACCACCAAACAACACAGCTATAACCAACTAACACAGCCACAACCACAACCAACCAACACAGCCAGAACCAACCAATACAACTACACAACCACCACAACCAACACAGCCAGAACCAACCAATACAACTACACAACCACCACAACCAACACAGCCACAACCAACCAATACAACTACACAACCACCACAACCAACACAGCCACAACCAACCAATACAACTACACAACCACCACAACCAACACAACCAGAACCAACCAATACAACTACACAACCACCACAACCAACACAACCACAACCAGCCAACACAACCACAACCAGCCAACACAACCACAAGCACCACCAACCAACACAGCCACACCCAAACAACCACCATCAACCAACACAGCCACAACCAACCAACACAACCACAGCCAGCCAACACAACCACAAGCACCACCAAACAACACAGCCACAACCACAACCAACCAACACAGCCACACGCAAACAACCACACCCAACCAACACAGTCACAACCACACAGCCACAACCATCCACCATCAACCAACACAGCTACAACCAACCAGTACAACCACACAACCATAACCAACCAACATAGCTACAAACAACCAATACAACCACACAACCACAACCAACCAATACAGCCACAAACAAACAACCACAGCCAAGCAACCACAGCCACAACCACAGCCACAACCACACAACCACAACCAACCAACACAGCCACAAACAACCACAGCCAAGCAACCACAGCCACAACCACACAACCACAACCAACCAACACAGCCACACTAACATAACCACAACCAACCAACATAGCCACAAACAAACAACCGCCATCAACCAACACAGCCACACCCAAACAACCACACCCAACCAACACAACCACAACCAACACAGCCACAACCACAACCAACCAACACAGCCACGACCAAACAACCACAGCCACAACCAACCAACACAGCCACAACCACAACCAACCAACACAGCCACAAACAAACACAACCAACACAGCCACAACCGCGCAACCACACCCACAGCCAACCAACACAGCCACAATCAAACAAGCACAACCAACCAACACAGCCACAACCACGCAACCACAACCAACCAATACAGCCACAACCAAGCAACCACAGCTAACCAGCTACAGCCACAATCAACTATAACCAAACAACCCAGCCACAACTAACCATAGCCACACAACCACACAACCACAACTAGCCAACCACAAACAACCAACCATAACCATAGGCAAACAAGCACAACTGCAATCAAAACCAACCAGTCACTCAGCAGCACCCCACTACTTGGCAGAGTCTTGTGTGTGGGCTCTTTCCAGTGCTTCCCAGGCATCGTGTTCAATGCCGTCTCACCCTCCACCGCTGCTGCTCAGAGATGAGGGCTCTCCCACTCACAGGACCTCACCCGATTGTCCTCACTCTCACTTGTCCCCACCCTGACGCCCTTCCCCCTTCCCCACCATCACTGGTCCGTTCTGTCTCTGTCCCGCTTCTCCAGATGGAAGGTGCGAGGGCCCTGTGGAGCATACGCCCTCGCGTCTGGCTTCTTTCCTCGTGTCGCGTCTCTGTGGCTCCCCTGTGCTCTTGTGAGCTCCCAGTTCAGCTCCCGCTGCTGAGCGGCCGTTCCCTCCAGGAAACACCAGGCGCTTTGTCGGCTCTGTGGGCTCCGCATGCTCACACCACATGGCCTCCTCGCAGGCACTCTGGGTGTCTGCACCGGGCGGCACGTGGCCGTCAGTGTTTTTGCCCACGGACAGGCGTGTGGCAGCCTCCCGCTGTTCTCACGGTGGCTCTCGGATGACACGGGGTGTGGAGCGCCTCAGGTGCTTGCTTGCTTTCTGTCTGAGATGTGTCTGTTCAGGTCTTCTACACGTTTTAAATGGATTCATTGCTTTCTCATGGCTGAGTTGTAAGGGTTCTTTGTGCATTTTGGACACCAGCCCTTCATCAGATGTGTCTGCACAAGTATTTCCTCCCCGCTAGGGCTTGTCTTCTCACTCTCTCACACTCCTTTTCCTGCTCAGCCCTCTAGGAGAGTCAGCACCACACGTGCATGGCATATCTTACTGTATGTGTGTCTGTGTTTTATACATAAAAAGAGCAAGTATTTTTTTTTTTGTCTCCTAACAACCAATTTTGCCCCTTTGAGGGAGAATGTGTGAGTCTATAGCATGGGTGGGGAACCTCCAGCCCATGTGCCGTGTAAGGCCCGCGAAGTCATTTGGGCTGGCCCGGCCAAGGCATTAAATGTTTGACCCAATACAGCAGCTGATGTTTAAGTGGATGATCTGGTGTGGCCCACAGATGATGTTATTAATATCCAAACAGCCCTTGGCGGAAAATAGGATCCTCGTCAGTGTGATGCTGTTGGAATAGACACCTTTCACATGTGCTGCCATGTTACTGGTTAACCTCTGAGTTCACCACCATGTCCTGTCCCCAAACCTACGAGGCTTCAGTGGGCTCCGGGGAGTGAGGGGTCCATGGACCTCAGGAGAAGTCCGAGCCACATCTCGGCACCGCCTGCGTCCTGCCCATCGGCTACAGACCTGTCGTTTATGCGTCATCTTTGCTGAGCTCAGCCCCCGCTCTCTCTTTATTTCTTGCTCGTTTTGTTAAAATTTCTGTTCTGAGTTTCTGATTCCAGGCGTTTCTGTGTGTGTGTTTGTTTTACATACGTGCTTTTTGAGGAGGTGAGATGCAGGGTAGAGTTTGCGTTTTCTGTTTCCTGTCTGTTGTCAGGGGAGAATTTTCATCGGCTTAAATGCTTTGACTGTTTTTACAGGAGCCCTTGTGGACTTTGGTTGTTTCTCCTGGACAGTGTGTAGGCCGGGGCTGTAGTCAGCGCAGGTGTTGGGGGTCTGACAGGGTTGGGCTGAGTCTGCCCGGACTCCCCTCCATGGCCGCCTCTGTGGCCCCTCCCTCCCAAAGCAGCAGCTCCAGGCTGCCCTGCCCGTCAGGTGGCTGCCCTGGGAGCTGAGCTGTCTCTCTGGTCTCCGTCCGTCCTTGAGACCCACACCCCCTGGGAGGGAGTCCCAGGGCCCTCCACCCGCAGGTGGGATGTGCTGTTCCTCTCACAGGTGGCTGGGGGCTGTGGTCTGCTCCGTGGTCATGCGGAAGGCAGTGGCCCCGGGGAGCCTCAGCGTGGTCCCGTGGGGAGCATGTGTCTCAGAAGCACCTGTGTTTGCCCCTCCCCGACGGCAGTGTGTCTCTAACGTATCGCTCCCTGGCGCTGTGCCTCCCCAGATGGCGTCCTCACCCCTGTGAACCACCGCAGTCCCCTGCAAGCCATCGAGCCTGTCGCGGCATCTGGCCACAGGAAACAGAGCTTTGTCCTCTCGCCCTTTTCTGCTCAGGAAGGTACGCGACCCTGCACCGCCCTCGAACCCCGAACTCAGGCTGTGGCCTGTGCGCTCCTCGCTGAGCCATTTCTCTCTCTCTGTTAGAAATGTCGGGTTTGTCGTTCCACATCGCTTCCTTGGACGAGAGTGGGGTTCTCAACGTGTGGGTGAGTGGGGCACGCGGGCACTGCGCCCCTGCACTCCCAGGTTCTGGGAGCAGTGTGTGGCTGTTGGGGAGAAGGCTGCCAGGGCCACGTGACGGGGAGGCAGGGCAGGGCAGTGTCCCAGGAGCTGTGGGTCCTGTGGGGGCGGACGCATGTGGACCAGGGATGGGCTGTCAGGGATGAGGGTAAAGGACGTGTGATGCTCCGAGGCGAGGCACTGGCCTGATGTCAGGGAGGGGCGCGGGCGGGAGGGCCGGCAGCGTCGCAGGGATGATTCTGAAGCGAGGCCCTCTGCCTGGCGCAGTTACGCTTCCAGCACCCGCTCAGCTGGTGTCTGTGAGACCTGTGCTGTGCTTAGATGGCTTCCTCATTAGAAAATGTGTTAATGGTCATCTCAATATTCTGTTTTTAGGTGGTTGTTGAATTACCAAAGGCAGATCTTGCAGGTTCGATAAGTGATTTAGGTAACTATTAAATGAAAAAAGTGAATTTCTGTCAGTGTTTGCTGAAAATGAGAGACTAAAGATAGCATTAACTACTTGGAAAATAAGTGGTTGGCTACCTGAAAGATGAACATGAAGGTCACGTGTCTTGCAACCTCATCGGCCACTGTGTGAGCAACTCAGCCGCAGTGAGGAAGGGCGTGCGGGCCGAGTGCTGGCGGCAAGGCCGAGCGCGTTCGTGCCCTGATGCCTGTGTCCCTTGAATCCCTATGTTGTACATCAGGGACCAGTGTCTGGTCCAGGCTCTAGCTCGTGCATTAGATTGGGGGCCGGTCAGAGAGCACCCACTGTGGTGGGAGCCAGTCCTGCACTGATGAGCGTTCTCTGAGCAACCTGGTCCCGTCCCAGGTGCCAGGAAGCAGGTGAGTGGATGGGGAGTGTGGGCTGAGAGCCCCGGGGCTCAGGTCAGAAGGGCGCGTTCAGGCCTGGCTGGCTTCCCACCTGTGACGGCAGCATTGGCAGTCTCCTGGCTTCGTCTGCGGGTTGAGCTTACTTATGGGCACACTGAGGACAGTGCCTTGCCCAGAATTTGGGTTTCAAGATGCAGTAATGACAAACGGGAAGATGGTATTGGGAATAGACAGGAAGCAAAGCCACCGCTTGGCTGAGGGGCAGGTTGTGGCCATGATGACGCTGAAGGAAGGGTGGTGTGCGAGTCGTTGGGAGGAGGCAGGGGCACGGAGGGGGGTGCCCGGCCTGTGCTGCTGCGAGGGCGCGGGGGATGCTGAGGCTGGTTTTCATTCATGTGTCTTCCGCTCAGTGTGCTGCCGGATCAGGTCTGAGAGGCAAGGGCTTCCTGGCCGTGACTCACAGCCCTTCCCCAGGCTCTGACTGCAGACCCTTATTGTTGGCTGAGTGCCGAGGGCGTTCAGGAACCGCACCTGCCCCCGGGTGCCTCCTGCCTCCCGGTCTGCCCCTGATGCAGGTGTGGAGCGGTGAAGCGGGATTCCAGGGACTGGCCGCTTGTCCTCAGAGGCACATCTATCCCCGTCTCCCTGCTTTTAGGGCTCATCCCCGGAGGGAGGATAAAGCTGGTGCACAGCTCTGTGACTCGGCTGAGCGACAGGTAAGTGCCCCCGGGAGGCAGCCCCTCAGCACAGGCCCATGTCCCACATGGGGAGGCGACAGAGATGATGGCCGAATGCCTGGTCATTCATGAGTCAGTGTAAAGGCACATCGCAAATGGAGAGCCACCTGCTTTTCTTTGATCAAAATATGGTCCATCGTACAGATCGGTGCGATGTGACTATTTTTCACTCAGTGTTAATACAACCATGAAGTCAAACAGGACCGGTGGTCACAGACCCCAGTCCTTCGTGCCCAGGGTGGCCCCTGGGCTGGTGGGACCCAGGGCTCTTGTAAGCACGCAGGCACGTAGTCCCCGTGGTTACGGAGGTGGGCTCCCGGTGTCAGGGGAATAGCGCTCAGTGAGAGGGGTGTTCATGGTGGTCCCCCGGGACCCGTGCCTACAAAGGGGAGAGGCACAGACCTGGCCGCGAGGGGCAGGTGACTGTCTCGCAGATGCAGACGGCCCTGGCCTGGGAGCTCCCGAGTGACCTTGCCAGGTCCTGTGCCCTCTCTCCCATCCGTCACTGAACTCGGGAGTCTGAGGAGGGAGTGACCCTGGGTGGCGGCATGTCTTCTCGTCCACCATGGGTATGGCACATGCGTGACTCGCTCTGTGGGACATGCACATGCTTGTGGGAGCTCAGAGTGATGGTGGGGTGACTGGTGACTTCTTGGAGAGGTGACCCTGAGGTGGGAGGTGGACCAGGAGTGTCTGATCAGCAGGAGCAGGACGTGGAGCCAGGGCATGAGGCCATGACACAGTGAGGGCAGGACCTGGAGGCTTGCCGTCCAGAGAAGGATGAGTCAGTGTTTGCTGCATGAGGGTTTCCACGGTCCTCCATTCCTGATGGCGATCGGGAGCTGTTTGGGGCTTAGAGGGAAAGTGTGGAACAGAGGCGGGGACTGGAGCGGAGACGCCTGGGCTGTTGCAGGGATTGGTGTGGAAGGTCAGGGTCAGGGCCGGGCAGCCGTCATGGGGATGAGGGTGCCTTTCAGCTAAGGTCGTAGGAATGGTGAGAGGGAGGCCCTGCCCTCTCCAGTGCCTGGCTCGGGGTCCAGGTCCCACACAGATGAGGAGTGGATCTGAGGCAGGATCTGGGCAGCCTGGCGGGCGGGGGGCAGGGGCGGGCTCAGCTCTGTTCTGCGAGTGATAGGAGGGTCTGCGTTTGACAGTTGCAGTCCTGAGTGTGGGTGAGAGAGACCGTGGCCAGATTCCTGCTTCTGGCGCAGGCAGAGCGGTTTCTGCTGTTACAACTATGCACACAAGTCTTTAAATGAGAGGAACGCCTGTCGGTGCCAGGTCCAGGGTGGAGGTTGGAGCCAGGGGCAGCCCGTCTGTGTGTGTGTGTGTGTGTGTGTGTGTGTGTGTGTGTGTGTGTAGGATGAGGCTGGGCCCCTGGGCCCCGCTGCTGCTGTGGCTCCACCCATGCCGGGCTGCGTGCTGCGGGCTTGCCCGAGGCTGGAAGGTGGGGCTGGACCCCGCACAGCACTGGGGTCCTTGTCCCTTCATGAGAGAGAAACCAGAAAGCCCCGCCCCAGCCCAGGAGATAGCGGAGGAGGAGACTTGAAACCCCAAGCTCAGAGTCCGCAGCTGAGACGCCAGCATCACAGGCCTGACCAGTGCAGCTGAAGGAGAGGTTACAGACCCTGCTGCACAGCCCGCGGGTTCGCAGGCGGAGATGACGGCACAATCTAAGAGAGTTCTAGAAGCGAGACTGACCCGTGAGAATAAAGGAGGAGAATGTGGAGTAGCATGGCATGTGAGACGTATCTGAGGAAACTATCCAGAGCACAGAACATGGGAAGCAGTCACAGGACACGTGTGATGCGTGCTGCGCCGTCATGGCCCGCGGTTCCAGCCCGTCCGCTCACCTCTGCTGTTTCTTCCAGCCTTTCCCACAAAGGCGACGGACGCTGGGGAGCTGCACAAACACTGAATGTTAAATTTTTGCCTTCAGATCCTAATCACTTTATTGTCGGCACCAACATGGTGAGGAATATTCTAAACTTCATTCTGGAACCCTTCTTCTTTCCTAGAGTTGCTTGATCAGTGTCGTCACTAAAGATGAATTCACTGCTTTTACAATGTTGCTTCAGCTGTTTCGAGAAGACTAGCTTTACCCACCCTTGTACTGCCCTTGGCTTTCGTCACTGTTGTATGTTTATCACCAGGGTTTTGTCGGCCATGGCTCCAGACAGGACCTGAGAGTATTTCCCAGATTCTTCAAACCCCAGCAGCACGGCGAGAGGCCGGTGAAGGTGACCGCGGTGGACTTCTCGCCCTTCGGAGAGCCGGCGTTCTTGGTGAGCAGTCTGTGTTTCAGCACCGGTTCCATTGGGGCAGCAAAGCCCCTGGAGGGACGGATCGGCTTTTAGCATCAGCTGTTCACTGCGCCTCAGTCCCCGACGGCCGGTCCGCGCGTGTCACCGCGAGGTTTCCTGAAAGCCCCTCCCAGCTGTGCAGGTCATCACATGGCTACTTAGACCTCTTGACACTTGGCGTTCTGACCTAGTTTCAGTGTTACAGGGGACTCCCAGGAGGAGCAGGGGGTCCCTGCCTGCCCAGCCTGTGGGTACCCCACAGGCACACCCTTGCCTCCCGGCTCGGCCCTCTCCTGCGGGTGCACTTAGTCCTGAAGTCCTCCCAGAGGTGCAGGCGGGACTCCCACCCTAAGTGGCTGAGTGATGGCTGCTCTGGTGACAGAGCCGCATCAGCAGGAAGCCAGTGCAGTGCCCCCCCCTCCCCCCACCAGTGGGAGTGGCTGCAGTAACCTCCCCGGTCACGCGTCTCCTCTGCTATTGCGTCGCTTCAGTCTCTCACAACCTGAACGGCGCTCCTCAGTTTGAGTGTGTGCGAGTTAGACTCCGTTTTCCATCTTCGCCTACCTGATGGCTCCTGGGTAAGGTGGGAACACTGAGGAGGTGCTGTCTTCCCTTTCTGATAATGACCATTCCGCGGGGAGACCAGTGGATGCTCTGCTACGCTCCTGCCATTCATCACCTCCCCACCTGCGCCCTCCCCTCCTGTGCCCTCCTCACCTGCACCCTCCCCACCTGCACCTTCCTCACCTGCGCCCTCCCCACCTGCATCCTCCTCACCTGCGCCCTCCCCACCTGCGCCCTCCTCACCTGCGCCCTCCCCACCTGCGCCCTCCTCACCTGCACCCTCCCCACCTGCGCCCTCCCCACCTGCACCCTCCCCACCTGCACCCATCCTATCCTGCAGCCTCAGGTCCTCACCTGCCTCCGTCCTCACCTGCACCCTCCTCACCTGCACCCTCACTTCCGCATCTGTGTGCTCACATTCTTACCTGCATCCATTCATGATCCTCGCTGCCATCTGATGTTGGTGATTTCCGACGGTGGCTTTGCATCCTGTAGGTAATTCCATGTTTACCAGTTTGCTATCTGTCTTTTCTGCTAGGTAGGAGTACGTAAATATGTATGTTAGGTGTACATGTAGGCAGGCATGTTTATTGGTATGTATGGAGGCATGTATGTGTAACGTAGGTGTGGGCACATGGCTCCTTACTCTCCTCAGTGGCTTACAGCCATTTGCTGCCCCTGTTCTGTTCAGAGCATCCCTGGGGGGTCCTTGGAACTGGTCCTTTGCTCTCTGGCATCATTCTGTGAGCCCTTTTTGCTTTTTGGCGTGGTAAGTTCCTGGAGTCAGCCCTTTCTCCAGGGAGTCCGGCTCCTGTTAGGAAAAAGCACGTGGAGACCAAGATCCGGGCAGTGAGAAGTGCTCGCTGTGCAGGACACACCGACCGCAGGCCACGTGCTCAGGCCCCCGAGTGCCCTGAGCCTCGCGCGATGCCGTCCGCACCTCTGCCTTGTTTATGGACTGACTTAGTATATAGAGCACAAGCTTCTCTTTTTAGCTAAATGTTGGTCTTTTACTAAACCAGCTACGTTTTATTTTATGGAAATTTCAACCCAAGGGGATGTATCACTATATTATTGGTGCAAATGTATGCATATCTTTTTAAAGATGACTTATTGATTTTCATGGAGCCAATCTTAATGCCCTGTGTTTGAATCACTGAGATCCAACTTTGCTAAAAATAAACCCCTACTTGTACATTCACGGAATTCATTGCGTATTGGCCACTTTGGGAAGGGACAGGAGTACAAAATGTCCCAGAGCCTCCCAGGTGAATTCTTATCTTTGTCGTTTGTTAGGACAGATTTAATGTTAGAATTCTATGTTTCAAAAATAAAAAGATACTTTTGCTGCACGAACTGAAAAATGTTGACGCTCTGGAAGTGTTTCCCACCGTGAGGCTGGCTGGAGGGAAGCAGCCGTGACCTGGTTTCCTGCCCGTAGGCCGGCTGCTGCGACGGGAGCATCAGGCTCCACCAGCTGGCGTCCGAGCGGCCGGTGCTGCAGTGGGGCCTCGGCACCGCGGGCCGCGCCGTCACCGGCCTGCAGTGGTCCCCGACCCGGCCAGCGGTGTTTTTCGTCCAGGACGACACTTCCTGCATCTACATCTGGGACCTCCTGAAGAGCGACCTGGGTCCCGTGGCCAAGCAGCCCATCTCTCCGGACAGGTAGGTGTGAGGGACCGTGCTGGCCGCCAGTCCCCCCCGCAGAGCTGCCCGGTAGTGACGTTAGCATGTGTTCTGTTGTTTAAGGAATGCTTCTATGGTATCAATTTAAGTGATAATTTACAAACCACTTTAAGGTATGTTGATTCCAATTTAGTCCAGAGTAGTCCATGGATTAAAGAATTCACACGGCGCCAGTTCCCCATCATTGCTCTTCAGTAAAGAAAAGAAGAAACGCGTGGGCTCCTTGGTCATGCCCTCAGGGTCCGTATGTACCACCTGCCGCCCTCCATCTAGTGTCCCGCACCCATGCCTGGGAGTCAGTCACTGACACCTGTCGCGTGGACGCATTCCTCCGCCCACAGTGGGGCGCCGTCGCACCAGCGTGTGGCCTCTGTGTGGACCCGGTGATGTGGAGATGATCATGGTCTTGTTTTATTCATGGAAACTAGAACTATTTCTAAAGCCTTCTCTGTGAAGGCTTCTTTCCTGACCCACTTGTCTGCTCACTATTTCCCCGAGATTTTGTACTTCTCGTTAGTAACTGCCTGACGGCGACGGCTCTAGGTGCCTGGGGCGGGCGGGGACCACCCAGCTGGAGAGTGACTGAGACAGAATTGCTTGCTGGGTGTGAGGGACACACTGATAAGATCTGAAAAGCACTAGGTATATACATTATTCTAATTATTTAAAAAATACATCATCAAAATCCAGACTGCGATTCACTTCTAAACACATAATATGCATGTCATTTATTCCAAAAGGCTTGTCAGTTACTTAATAAAACAAATATTTATTGAGCACCTGCTGCTCGCCTGGCACCAGGGTATGTGGCGGACCAGTCCGTGGGCTCACATCCTTGAGGGGCCAGATGGGTGAGAAACACAATAAAATAAATGAGGTTCCAGGGGGGTGGGGAGAAGCGAGGAGGCACGGCCAGGTGTGTGCCAGAGGGAGGCGGGGCTTTGGGTGGGCAGGAGGAAGGTCTGGCAGAGACTCAGGACGTGGGGTCTTGGGGCCGACTGTGCCTGACCCGAACCTGAACCGCCCCCCCCCCCCCCCTGCCCCGCTGCATGGCTGGTGGTCAGTCAGTCAGCTGGGCCGAGGCTGCCAGCAGGGAGCAGCGCAGACCGAGGGAGTGGAGAAAAGGCAGACGTGATCTAGAACATTCTCCCAGACACCGCCTGCCTCAGAGGTTAGCAGCAAGCAGTGTTTAAGTTAGAGAAGTGATAATATTCAAAGAAAGTGCCCAATTATTTGTCTCTAGAGCAGTGGTTCTCAACCTTCTGACCCTTTAAATACAGTTCCTCATGTTGTGACCCAACCATAACATTATTTTTGTTGCTACTTCATAACGTAATGTTGCTACTGTGATGAGTCGTCATGTAAATATCTGATATGCAGGATGCTCTTAGGCGGCCCCTGTGAAAGGGTCATTCGACCGCCAAAGGGGTCGCGACCCACAGGTTGAGAACCGCTGCTCTAGAGTTTTAAGGGCAGGAGTTTAGAGAGAAGGAAGCATTTGCCCCTTTTAGAGTTAAGTTCAGGTTATCATGAACGCTGCGCACTGTGGCCTGGGCGGCCAGGATCAAACCCGACGCTGCTTTGTTTTCTGCTCTCTTTGCCTGGATTCTGTTGGGCTCCCAGATCTGAAGCACATTTTATTTTAATGTTTTTTCAAAGCACATTAAATTGGCTCTGACAACCCTGGCCAGTGTTTTCAGTGGTTGGAGCGGTGGCCTGAGCACCAGAGGGTCTTGGGTTCGATTCCTGGTTAAGAGCAGGTACTTGGGTTTCAGGCTCACTCCCAGGGCACATGCGGGAGGCACCCAGTTGATGTCTTTCTCACATCGATGTTTCTCTCTTTCCCTTTCACTCTTTTCCCCTTCCTCCCACTCTCCCTGGAGAAAAATCAATGGAAAAATAGCCTTGGGTGAGGATTAAGAACAAATAGTAGTGAGCGGGCCTGGTAGTGCTGAGTGGCGTTTCCGCACCAGGTCTCACCATGTCTGCAGAGTTCAGGGGGAGCTGCTGTGCTGCCCTCGAGCTCTCCCGGCTCCCTGGCCTCCCCCTGCTGCATCGTTCCTGGAGTTCCCAGCTTGTGGCAATAACCAAGCAGCAGTCTTAACATACTCAGTAGGTGGAAATTCTCAAGATTTGTTCCTTTGTGGGCTCAGGAGGGCTTCATTCTCCCTGCCCCACCCCTCAGTGATGCGGTGGCTCTCGACCTGGGGCCCAGCAGAAGGACCAGACTGTCTCTGAGGCCTGGACAGATGGGGATGGGAAGGACGCGGGCGCATGGGGCTGCTGGGGTGGCTTCAGGCTTCTCGCCGCCGGTCTGGTCTCAGGGCAGGGCTGCCTGCAGCCCAGGGTTGTGGGTTTGCCTGTCCGGGGAGCAAGTCCTTCATGCTTCACAGTGACGGTGACCAGCGGTCGTGCAGCAACTCTCGTTCAGGAGTAAGTTTTCAAAATGGGTTTTAGAGGCTTCCCTGTGCTGGCTTCTGTTCTGACGCTCGTTCTGACTCATGGCGGTGGTTAGACTCTCGTTCACGCCCCAGGAGCCTCGCAGTCATGCAGCCTCTTTTCCAGGCTGGTGGCCATGGCGGTCGTGGGCGAGCCAGAGAGGACCAGCGGCGGCTTCCTGGCCCTGGTGCTGGCCAGAGCCTCTGGCCACATGGATGTCCAGTTCTTGAAGCGGAAGTGGGCGACCCCCGTGGCGGACGAGCAGAGGAGACTGCGGCTGCTTCTGCAGAAAGCGCTTTAGGGGGTGAGCAGCTGGCGTTGTCGGGGGACAGCACATGGGGACCCAGACGTGAAGGGCCAGTCCAAGAGGGGCCTGTCACCCATGTGCGTGTGTAGTGTGCAGGAGAACACATGTATTCTGTACATAATTAATTCATTTTACAGGATGTCAGTTATATTCCCAGTAAATAAATTACTATTTTTGAATGGAAACATTTGTAGTGTGTCCTGAACTTCAAAGGAAATACAGTCATGCCCAGTACACTCTTTCCTGAGAATATTTCTGCTTATTTTTAGACCAGCTTTAAAATATTACCCATTCGCTACTGTAGGTTATTTATTTATTTATTTATTTATTTATTTATTTTTATTGATTTCAGAGAGGAAGGGAGAGGGGGAGAGAGAGAGAGAAACATCAAGATGAGAGCGCATCATTGATCGGCTGCCTCCTGCACAGCCCACACTGGGGATCGAGCCTGCAACCCAGGCCTGTGCCCTGACTGGGAATTGAATTATGACCTCCTGGTTCATAGGTCCATGCTCAGCCACTTAGCCACTTAGCCACACTGGCTGGGCTACTACCAGATTGTAAACAGTCCACCATGAACATGTGTTCCCATGAGCTGCTCTCTTAGTCATGCATGAGACGGGACTTCATCCGGGCGCAGGCCTTTCCCTGCCTGGGTGTCCTCGAGCCCGAGCACTGCTGCAGAGCCTGGCCTTCAGGGGATGCTCGGTGGGTCTGTTAGGCAGCGCTGGACTCGGCTCCCCCCGCATCCCTACGCTCGCGGACAGTCGCTTCCAGACAGGAGAGGGGCGTGCAGGCGCCTGGAGCCCTCAGGCCACCCCTGCTCTTTTCTCCCTGTAACCTGCGCACAGACTGGTCTGGGCTATTTAAAGGTGGACATGAGTTGTAGGTGTTTCACTTTCAGATTCTGCTTTAAATTAGAATTACATTCGTCCCTCTCTCTCTGCACCTCCTGTGTTTGTGCCCACGAAGTCTCAGGTATTGTCCACTGTGGCTCCACACCCTCTTCTTTTGTTGATTCATTTTTCCTGGGAGGTAAGTGCTTGGGCGCTGGGCCCTGACATTGCTCAGAGGCGCTAGCTGCTGCATGCCACCAGGCCCACCCGCCCCGCCCCCAGCCACAGCGGCAGGGCTTGCTGTGAGTGGCACCTCTGGCGGCTCCAGTGTGTGCTCGGTTCTGAGGGAAGGTCGGAGCCCTTGGGGGTGCAGGTGGTTGCAGTCATCCTTCTGGGAGGTGCCAGGTAGGGGTGCAGCCAGAGATGTGCCCAGGGAGGGAGCTATGTGGGGTCCAGGGGCCTGCAAGGCTCCCAAATCCTGCCGAGGAGGTGACTTTTTGCTAAAATTTCAAGTGCATTTTGGGTCACACAGTCGTGTGCTGGGATCTAGACTTGAAGTCGCGAGTGAGGTTTCTGTATTTAGCCCATTATCCCTGCCCTGCCTCACCCTCAGGCCCTTCAGGCGTGAGTCCTGGTCACATCGCAGTGGGTCTGCTCTCCTCCAGGGGGTTGGTGACAGGCCGTCTTCCCTCAGAAAGCAGAGGAAACAGGAAACAATGCCACCCGCCACCCAGAGGAGGACACCAGGCGAGGGCGCAGCCCAGCACGGAGGCACATCTCTGTCTGCTTGGTGGCTGTGAGTTCCCTCCGAGTCACCAGGCAATTTGGTCTGCGATTCTGCGAGCGTCCCTCTCAGGAGTCCCTAAAAACACGGAGCTGAGAGAGTCCATTCTGAACTGTGTGGCTTCCCTACATAGTTCCGAGCTTATTTGTGTGCCTAATGCTTTAGCCCACCGGGCACTAAGCCAGCCCAGCACGGGTCAGGGCGACTCCCCACTGCATGGCTTGCCCATGTTGCTAGGCTCATCAACTTGGATTCATCTTCTAAAATGACAGAACATTTATTTGCCTTTTATCACAGAAGGTAACAAAACTTCAGTGAAGTCTCTGGCTGTGTTTCTAGGCCAGGCATTGTTCGGGCGTAAACATGGGAGCTCGGAGGGG